AAACATGTTGCATCTTATTTTTACTATTAGTCAGTAAAAATAATAGCAATATCTGTCATGAAAATTCAAAAAATATTCATCATAATGTTTTTACATATCATCGTTCTAGAAATTTTCTGCTAAATGATTATCGTTTTTTCTAGTCCAACTCTAGTATATATTATCAAATAATATATGGAATCATTTTATATATGTTATGCCTAGGAAAAATTTAATATTGACAAAGTGTTTTATCTTCTTCTTAGTGGCTTTATACCTTATAAATTATTTCTAAATGACCTTTTGAGATCCTAAAGACTATAAATATTTTAATTTGCACACTTCCACTATCTTTTCAAAAAGGTTTTAGAGTAGTGGAGGAATCTCCTAATGGCCAAAGATAACCTATGAATTTATTTGAAACAAATAATCAAGCAAATACAATATTATAATTTTTCTTATTAGATTTCTTGTGTTATTTATTGACAAGTTTAATATCTTTATATACTTTATATATGATGAATTAAAAACTGAAAAGATTATTCTGCAAATTTTATTTTTTCTTTATTAAAAAAAATCAGATCGCCATTTCTTTTTTTTTTTAAGAATTAAAAAAGGATGTGAAAAAAGCAAAGAAAGCATGCATGCATTTTGTGACCAGAAGACAATATTATAAATGAAAATTTTAAAAACATGTCTAGTGGGAAAAGGACATCATTGAATATGCTTCTCTTATGTTTTGTATAAGTGATAGTACTTATATTTGTTCTACCACCTGAGACAATAAAATAATAGTTCCCAAAACTCGGGAACTTTTCCCCCAAATAGTAATTTATTTGTTTTATTTTTATTTGTAGGTATCATTTTGTTATCCAAACGAATCTTCTTTTTTTTGGGTGAAAAATCCAAAAAAGAATTTTCATTTCTTTACAGTGAAAAAATCATGGATATTTTATTCTTTTTCGCAGGATATATTATTATATGCTTCGTTTCTCTTTAACAATTCTATTTTTTTTTTCATATTGATTTTAATAGTTTATATTTCTGTTTTCCTAACCAATAAGTCAAAATGCTTTATACAAATTATTGGATTGAAAACCCTACCATCGTGGAATATAATGATATTCCACGATATATATTAACTGTAGTTATATATAGTCGAATAACCGTTAATTTTTATACCAAAACATAGCGATATATATACACGGTATTAATTTTATGACATTGTCAAGCAAAAGTAGCATCCAATTGTGCTAATAAATAATAATATAACGTTTATTGGATAATTACACGTCCAAATAATACAGTATTTGCGGGTATTTTATTATTTCTTAATACATAAATCTAAACTTTATGGAAAGTTCTAACATCTCGTTTTTTGGTTATAAATTAATCTTATTGTGGCGAATATGAATTAGAATATTGATGGATGTGATACATTTATTGGTGCGACAATATTTTATGTTTTGGTGAAAGTTGTCAAGGGGAAGTCCTACGCAACAAGACACCAATTACACGTTCATGGCTATAATTAAATATATTAAAATTTACGTGATTATCCCAATTTCTTTTATCAACTTTGCCAACAACATTATCTCATTTTTTAACTTTTAAGACAAATATTCTTACACGGTGATAATGAGAAATATTGTGTTTATAATTTAAATTTGTATATTTGTCGGATTGTGAAAGTTTGTGTGGTTCAATATGAGAAAAAAGCTACGTCACGTTTTCTGAATTTTGTGATGGGTTTAAGTTCGGACCATTTATCATAATATGGCGTATAATATTTCTCGTTCTGGAATTTAGGTGGTTGGCTTCTAGAGATTTAAGTTTTTTATATATATAATTTTAGTTTTCGATTTTTCTATTATATTATCTCGACTTTTTTTTGTATTTTCTACGGTAAAAATATTTTCTTCTACTCTTTATTTTTCTGTTTGATTTGTCTATCGTAAGTTTTATATCCATTTAATTTTTGTTTGTTAGTTTTGTTTTATCCGATCTATTGATTTGTTATTATAATTTTCAGTACACAAAACACAAATCTATAGTAATATATAATAATATATGCAAAATAATGTGCTGGCAACAATTACAAGGAGTCGAGTTCCCTTGTTTTGTAATATCTTTGGTCGAACACTTTTTTTGTATTTGTGTAACGTTTTATATATCTTCAAATATATAAAACGAACCAATATTTATTGGAAGGTAAACAAAAATTATAACCATTAGGCCACAATTTTTTTTTGTTTTCGGCATATATATGTGTGTGTGTGTGTGTGTGTGTCAAATATAGAAATTTATCAAAACTAGAAAAAAAATATCCGACATGGAAGATTTTGAATATATAAAAAAAATTAGAAAAAAAATGGTAACAAAAAACACGAGCCAAGCAACTTTCTAGGTGCGAGGAGATGATAATGTACACTATAGCTTAATGGAGATATATGTCATCTCCCCATTGTAATGGCCCATCCACTGGTGGCGATGAACCCTTTGTCCTACGCCACATATATATGTATATATATATATATCTCTGTATATCGCCTTTTAGTTTTGGTACATCATCCAACGTTCAAAAGTAATTCTAATAATACTAAGAGAACTTTATAAAATAGAAATTGCTCTAACACATATTACATATATAGAATTATAATAATTGTATTGTAGAACGTGAAAAATAATAAAATCTCAACTTGTTTTGGTTAATCCATAAATTCTTTATCCATGCCATGAAGATTACAACAGGGAAGAACAGTAGTTAAATATTGTTTTCCTTTGGAAAATATCGGGTTCTATTCAAGATTTGCTTAATAATCACTCGAGTTTTCCACTCTTTGATTACCAAAATATACATATGTATAAAACCATACTATGAAAAATGTTATATTTATTTGTATGCGTATATCAACAATTAAAACATTCCAAAAATCAGAATCACATACTTAAAAAATGAATCACACGAGTAAGCCAAGAATAATGGTTTCTAGTAGAAGAAATTTTGTCGTAGGTATCTGTAACATCCCGTGACTGTTACGAAATGTCGAAACTATCATCACATCACAACATGAGACCTTCTAATATGTTTTTATCATCACTCGCATATATACCGAAACACTTTTTAGTAGGTAACCCATTCTTAGATTGTTTCAAAGTCAACATACTTAACTTTGGAGTTCTCTCGGGATAGTCAACCGAAAAGATATGTGGACCTTGTTACGTTGAGTAGCATATCTATACAACCACCGGATTTCTCTCCTTCTGATATGTTTGATTCATTCATGTATCCATCTGGCCTAGTGGTACTCGGGGAGCCGCTCATTAACCGTATCATCTGCAACGACGAATACTTTCAACACTCATAATAGATCGGGATATCATAGTATTGGTAACTTTCGTTATTTGTTAATTATCGTAAAATGATAGATAAGATTGGTGAATAAGTTGTTTTATAATTATAATAAGTGTCTCATCATTTCTTGTTCTTATTTGTTTTTAAACCATAAGAAAGTATTTAATACGACGGAATTATAACAAAAATCTGTATATGTCTGGACAAATTCCTTCCTCCCTTAATGTATGGCCTCAAAAAGAATTATATCTATTCGATTTTTTTCTATTTTTTTTTATAGTTTTTAAATTTCATTAAAGAAATATTCATTATTTACTAAAGAAAGTTGTGCTTTAATTGTTTTTTCAACTATGGTTATATTCAATTGAAAAATTAAATTGCAAGGAGATGTGGATAGTCGTTTGAGTTATTGATACCAATATGCCAAATCAGTTGGAGTAAGAAATTTTCCTTGGTGCTAATAGACCGACGGAATTTATAGACAAACACATGTATCGTATTTCACTTTGAATTAGATACCCGATTTAAACCAGATAAGTCAATGGATGCATGCACCAACGACTTTACATTGGAATATGGTGGAACGAATACTCAAGTATTTAAAAGGAACACCAAGCAAAGGAGTTTGGATGCAATGCAACAAAGACACTGGAATCTCAGGGTATTGCGACGCAGATTGGGCTGGAGATAGAATAGATCGAAAATCAACAACCGGCTTTTGTACCTTTGTGGGTGGTAATCTTGTCACATGGAAAAGTAAGAAACAAACAGTGGTCGCGCGGTCAAGTGCCGAAGCCGAATACAGAGCAATGGCTAATACGACATGTGAGCTCATGTGGTTGAAGAGTCTTCTTCATGATCTCGGTATTACATCGCCACAACCAATGCCACTTCACTGTGACAATCAAGCCGCAATACACATAGCGGCTAACTCTGTGTTTCATGAGAGGACAAAACACATCGAGGTAGATTGTCATCTCATTCGCGAAAAAATTACCCAAGGAGTCATCACTACAATCTATACCAAAAGCTCGGAGCAACTCGCTGACATCTTTACCAAAGCTACAAGTTCTTATGTGTTAGACAAACTCCTCCGCAAGATTGGCCTTGTCGAAAATCAAGAACCAATCTTGAGGGGGAATGTTAAAGCAAATGAAGAAACGAAACCTGAAGACACGTCAAGAAACAATGATCGAGAGAATGGAGAGTTACTTGAGAGACAAGTAACAACGACACACTAAAATAATGTGTCCTAGCCGTTTGTGATTGAGAAATCAATTCACAATCAGATCCAAGACTTTCTCTGTGGTGATTTGGCTCATTTCCTTTCATGACAAATCACCAAATCATTTTTATTTTGTTTCCATTTTTTTCTTTGTTTAGTTTTGTAAAGTCTCCTCTATAAGATGTAAACTATTATGTACAGAATATTATATGAAAGAGAAGTAAATTATTTTCATCGCATGTTCATCGTCTTCCTCTAACTCTGGTTTTTCCAGACTATCTCTTTCGATTCCTACAAAAACTTTCATGGTATCAGAGCGAAAAGATCAATAAATCTTCTGCTTAAATTCGTACTTCCTTGGCCATCCTTGTCGAGATTTATTTTTCTGCCAGTTTTTTTTTCAAACTCTTTCTGTCAGAACCTCTTTGTTCCTCATCGACAATGGATACTCAAGCCAAAGTGATTCCTGTTGTTCTCCATGGAGAGAACTACTTCTACTGGTCCAAAGCAGCGAAAGCAGTGCTGCGAAGTCGTGGTTTATGGAGCCACATCGTTGATGAAGAAGAAGCATCCGCGGTTCAAACCGCAGCAACCGAAACCGGTCAAGGTGCACCAAACGTTGCCATAGTTTCTGACAAAAAGAAATGGACTCAAGAAGATCAGTTGGCTCTCACAATATTGCAAAGCTCACTTGATCAGAACATTCTTCGATCCTTCATTGCCCCGGAAACGGCCAAAGCTTTGTGGGAATCACTTCAGAAAGTGTACGGTAATATGTCCAACTTAAGTCGAGTATTTGAGATTAAGAAGAAGATGTTTAACTTGCAGCAAAACGGCAAGCCTTTCAACATGATTCATGGAGACTTTAGTGCTCTATGGTCAGAACTCGAGGAGCTTCGACCCGTCACTACGGATATCAAAGAATTTCTGGCACGTGCGGAGGAAGATAAGGTTTTTTCCATTCTCCTTACGCTTGATGGATCGTTCAATGACCTTACTTATCATATTTTACGTCAAGACAAACTTCCATCGTATGATGAAGTTTGCATGATGATAAAAAGAGAGGAAGGCGGACGAAATTTGTTTGCAGGCCCGAGTGAAATTGCCCATTATCGCAAGGCAAGTTTCACTCCGAATCCGAATGCCCGAGATCGTCGAAACCTCATATGTGCACACTGCAAAAAACCCGGTCATGTTCGTGATAAATGCTGGCTTATTCATCCTCATCTCAAGCCTGCAAAATACAAGGATGCTCCAACACACACTCACGAATCGGCCATGCATAGCAACAACACCGTAACCCTCTCTTCGGATGAAATGCTTGGCCTAAAGAATCTACTCCTTGCCATGAAGGACAAGGAGTCCGGTAACGTCTCTTCTCTGTTAAATAATATTTCTCATCCTCTCATCATTGATTCTGGTGCTACTAGCCATATGATTAGTGATTCTACGTTATTGCATAATCTTAAACGAGCATGTGGTATTGTATCAGTGGCAAATGGCAAGCATGTTCCAATTAAAGGCCAAGGAAAATTAAAAATATTTAACAAAGATGTTTCAGCCTATCATGTTCCCGATTTTCAAACTAATTTACTCTCAATTCCTGCATTAACGGACCAAATCGATTGCTCGGTTACCTTTGATGCTAACAAAGTGGTTTTTCAGGATACTAAAACGGGTGACACAGTTGGACATGGCATAAGGAGGGACAACCTCTATTTGCTTGAAGACTCTTCTCTCATTTCAGAAACTGCTTTCAACACGATATGGCATGCACGACTAGGTCACCCGCATCACAAAGTGCTAAAAATTTTGCTTCCACAAGCCAATTTTGATAGTACCTTTTGTGAAGCGTGTGTATTAGGGAAACATTGCCATAGTGTTTTTCCTGATTCTAAGACAATTTATAATTCTTGTTTCGATTTGGTTCATTCGGATGTTTGGACATCGCCCTGCTTTTCTCGAGATGCAATGAAATACTTTGTTACGTTTATTGATGAAAAGTCTAAGTATACTTGGATTTATCTTCTTCCGTCTAAGAGTGGCGTTTTTGATGCATTCAAAAATTTTTTTGCTTATATTTCTAACCAATTTGGAACATCTATTAAGATTCTTCGAACAGATAATGGCGGAGAATACACAAGCAAGGCATTTCGAGATTTTTTATCGAACCATGGGATTGTTCATCAACGATCTTGTCCGTACACGCCTCAACAAAATGGGGTCGCTGAACGCAAGAATCGTCATCTCATGGAAGTGGCTCGGACCTTACTCTTCCACCGAAATGTTCCTAAAACGTATTGGGGAGATGCTGTCACGTTAGCATGTTACATTATCAATCGTTTGCCAACAAAGATCTTACACGATCGTTCTCCGTATGAGGTAATTCGGAACTCTAAAGATTCCATTGACCACTTACGAATTTTCGGTTGTTTGTGTTTTCCTTTATTGCCAGATGGACACCGTAGCAAGCTTGATCCCAAGAGCTTACGATGCATTTTTCTCGGCTATCCGTCATCTCAAAAAGGCTACAAATGTTATCATCCTCCCACTCGCCATATGTATGTGTGTCGAGATGTCCGGTTTGAAGAGGAGAAGTCATACTTTGACAAAACAAATTGGGAGACTGTGCAAGATATTACAGAACAACCATTTGACTTTCGTGCTTCATTTTTAAATTTGTTGGACACTATACCATCATCGGACAACAACGTTGTGTCTTCATCTTCTGTGATGACTTGTCCACCACGCAACCCATCTTTTCTTGCAGGTTTCCAGCAATCTCATGAATCAGAATCGGACCACAGTCTCACTGACGTTGCACCACAGACCGGATCTGATCATGATCCTCAGGGGGAACTTGAGCAACTCGCCGATCTCGACGACGATATCCCACCTGATTCGCAGGAACATACGTCTGACCGAGAACCTAGCACTCGAGATGAGAGAGACCAAGCTGCAGCAGCACCTGATTCTTCCTCAACGTCCGACTTGCAACATTATATGTTAGCTCGTGACAGGAACAGGCGTGTTGTTCAACCACCACTGCGTTACAGACAAGACCAGCCTTCTTCCATCTCCAAATCTGCTCGCCCACTTGGCACTCTAGAGGCAACCGAAGTTGTTGTTGTTCCCCATGAACCAGTTGTTGCTGACCAGATTGTGAATTCTGCTGCACAACATCGCCACAGTTCGAAATCATTTTCGCAGCTTCATTGCAACACACATACGGTTAAATATCCCATTCAACATTGTTACTCTATTGATCATTTGTCTCCTCACGATATTGCCTTTCTTAGTAGAATTGATCAGGGGGAAGAGCCAACTACTTACGATGCAGCGAACCAACACCAAGTATGGAGAGACGCCATGCAAGACGAAATTTCCGCCCTTGAGAAAAACGGCACATGGATCGTAACATCTCTTCCCGAGGATAAGAAACCCGTGGGTAGCAAATGGGTTTATAAAATCAAGTATCGAAGCAATGGGGACATCGAGCGATATAAAGCAAGATTGGTCGCAAAGGGATTCACCCAAACCTACGGAGCGGACTACACTGAGACTTTTGCCCCGGTGGCCAATCTTAAATCCTTTCGTGTTATTTTATCCTTAGCTACTAACCTTTCATGGGACTTGTGGCAGATGGATGTCCGAAATGCATTTCTTCAAGGGGACCTTGAAGAAGAAATTTATATGGCACCTCCTCCTGGACTTCAAGAAAAAATTGGTTATGGCAAGGTGTGTCGTCTAAAGAAAGCAATTTACGGACTCAAACAATCACCAAGAGCATGGTACCAAAAACTTCACTCGGCCTTGATATCACACAATTTCACTCGCAGTGAAGCCGATCATTCCCTATTCGTTCGTAAGACTAAAATTGGTATCATCGTTCTTCTTATCTATGTTGATGATATCGTTATCACCGGTAATGATACGCTTGGTATAGCTGAGACTAAGAGATTTCTACAACATGAGTTCGACATTAAAGATCTTGGTGAACTTAAGTATTTTCTTGGCATTGAGATCATTCGTTATCCTCACGGCATATTTCTTTCACAACGCAAGTATACACTTGATCTGCTTAGTGATACAGGAAAGCTCGGAGCTAAGCCGGTTCGGACGCCATTAGAGACATCTTATAAGGATCAACGCGAGGGGGAATGTTTCACAGATATCACACAATATCGACGCGTTGTAGGTAAGTTGATCTATCTAACTATCACCCGACCTGATATTTGTTTTTCTGTGAACCAGATAAGTCAATGGATGCATGCACCAACGACTTTACATTGGAATATGGTGGAACGAATACTCAAGTATTTAAAAGGAACACCAAGCAAAGGAGTTTGGATGCAATGCAACAAAGACACTGGAATCTCAGGGTATTGCGACGCAGATTGGGCTGGAGATAGAATAGATCGAAAATCAACAACCGGCTTTTGTACCTTTGTGGGTGGTAATCTTGTCACATGGAAAAGTAAGAAACAAACAGTGGTCGCGCGGTCAAGTGCCGAAGCCGAATACAGAGCAATGGCTAATACGACATGTGAGCTCATGTGGTTGAAGAGTCTTCTTCATGATCTCGGTATTACATCGCCACAACCAATGCCACTTCACTGTGACAATCAAGCCGCAATACACATAGCGGCTAACTCTGTGTTTCATGAGAGGACAAAACACATCGAGGTAGATTGTCATCTCATTCGCGAAAAAATTACCCAAGGAGTCATCACTACAATCTATACCAAAAGCTCGGAGCAACTCGCTGACATCTTTACCAAAGCTACAAGTTCTTATGTGTTAGACAAACTCCTCCGCAAGATTGGCCTTGTCGAAAATCAAGAACCAATCTTGAGGGGGAATGTTAAAGCAAATGAAGAAACGAAACCTGAAGACACGTCAAGAAACAATGATCGAGAGAATGGAGAGTTACTTGAGAGACAAGTAACAACGACACACTAAAATAATGTGTCCTAGCCGTTTGTGATTGAGAAATCAATTCACAATCAGATCCAAGACTTTCTCTGTGGTGATTTGGCTCATTTCCTTTCATGACAAATCACCAAATCATTTTTATTTTGTTTCCATTTTTTTCTTTGTTTAGTTTTGTAAAGTCTCCTCTATAAGATGTAAACTATTATGTACAGAATATTATATGAAAGAGAAGTAAATTATTTTCATCGCATGTTCATCGTCTTCCTCTAACTCTGGTTTTTCCAGACTATCTCTTTCGATTCCTACAAAAACTTTCATATATATAATATAATATTCTTTTGTTTTCTTTTCCCTTATAGGAGTAAATATATACCATCTTGTGATCAGAAAACAGAAGCATTACGTTGTGTGATTGAATGTGTGTCAGCACCCACAAGATAATCTTCTTCTAGTTGACGTTCGATTATCAGTCCATAATTAATGAAACCCTAAACGCAATAAGAAAAATAAATCTTAATACTAGTTAAAGTAAATCCACATCTTATGTGGGATATCGATATATTTATTTTTTTTAATTCAGAAAAAGAAAAAAAGTATCTTATATATAAATAAAGAGATTTGAAGCAATTTGGTGAAGACATATTATTTGTTTTTTTTAATTTTGATTTGTTACTAAGAAATTATTATAAAATTAAATGAAAAACTTTTAAGATAGAAAAATGAGTAATCCAAAATAAAATGATAAGAATTAAATGAGAAGATTTTAAAATAAGAAAATGAATTATCCAAAATAAAATAATAAGAAAATTTAAATAAAATATAACTATCTTTAATAAAACTTATTGTTATTTTAAATGATTTTTTATTATTTATATAATAGTAATAGACTAAATGAAAAATGTAATTATAAAAAATTATGATGAAAATGAGTAATCCAAAATGAGATAATAAAAATTTAATAAAATATTATTATTTTTAATAAAACATATAATTATTTAAAATAATATTTATTTATTTATAAAACAACAATAGATAAAATAAAAAAATATAATTCTGAAGAATTTATAATGAAACATCAATATATTTGGAAAGTATAATTTTATATTAAAAAAAGAAACTAATACAATATATATTTTATTAAATTCATAAAAATATTATAATAAAATAATTAACAAAACTTAAAATAAATCGTTCGTTATGCCAAATATCATCCAATAGTCTATAACAAAAAGAAAGAGATACTTAAACATAAAAAACAATTTATTAATTAAAAAAATACTTTATAACTAATAAAACTTTTAATGTTTTATTATTTTAAATGCAAAATATCATATAAATATCTTAATTTTTTAAAACATATCAAATAACTATCTAGACTTTTAATTTATCTAATTGATAGAAAAAATGTTAAAATATTTCAAACTGATATCCTATCCTTGAATCATGAGATCGAGAGATTATTGAAGTTTTTAGACAAATTGTAGTGAATATTATACGAGCGCGACTCATCTTTAAAAGATGTTCTACACTATTTTTTAGAATTTGTTCGCATAAATCCTTCATATATCATAGAAAAAGTTGAAGATCGATATCAATTATACGAGTTAGAGTATCAATTTATAACATTTAATATTTAATGTATCAATTTGAATATTTTAACATTTGTGATATCAATATATCAGATTAAAATTTTAGATATTTATTTAGCATATTTTAAAAAATTAAGGTATTTATATTTGATTTTTTCTAATTTAAATGATTTTATCTGACGACACTATATAGATCAAACAATCCATTGGAAAAAATGATGTTGCTCCCGATGTTTCGGAGAATTAATTTGAATTCCTACTAAAAAATATTTATTATTAAATTTTTTCAATATAAAATAATTCAGTTTTTTTAAAAGTCGAAACTAAATATAAAAAATAGAAAAAAGATTCAAATACATACCTCACCACTATAGTAGGTATTGATCCAATGTGGATGAACCTCAAACTCAATTCAAGATGGGTAGTCATAGTGTCTTATTAGAGGCTAACCATGACTTGTAACTCGGAAACGTTTTTGAGGCTATTACCGTTACAAATGTGCCTACACGGTTACATACCAATAGTAATGGACTCACACATGAATTACTAGAAAAGATTTCGTTTGCAATTACACTGTTCATATTTTCACATTCCGATGTGTAATTCCTCGTATTAAACGATTTCATTTGCAATAATATATTTTGCTTATCACGTCTTATAAACATCACCAGTTCACTACAACTCAATCATGCATATCATTTTATACACATTATCATGCATTTTAGTTCTCTAAACTCTGTAACGGGTATCCATTATATCCGGTTGCTGCAGTATGCAAACTTATTAATTCCAAATCCCTGAAAGGCACGAAGGATTTGTTTACTGAACTAAATAGCATTTATTTCACAAAGGATTAGAATTCGAACTGTTATTGTGTTTAAATCACCTCTAACTCAATTCAAGATGGGTAATCATGGTGTCTTATTAGAGGCTAACCATGACGTATAACTCGGGAACGCTTTCGAAGCTATTACCATTACAAATGGGCCTACACGGTTACATACCAGTAGTGATGGACTCACACATGAATTACCAGAAAAGAGCAGTTGGATTTGGTCGAACAAACGGTTGTCGGAATGATATTAGGACGCTGAAAATTTTCTCAAGATAACTGAACCGGACTAGTTCAGGTTGGTCCGATCCAGTCCAAATCTAGTCCAGAAAGAGTTTCGGGCTTGGACTTTTTTGATGGTTTGAACCAGGCCAGTTCAAGTTGAATTGAACCGGATCAAGTCTCGAGAAAAAATTTTTCTTTTTTGTTAGGGTTTCAGACATTATTTAAAGGGCTTGGGGTTGCCGCCTCAAAAGACACTTTCTGAACTCCTTGACAAATTTACAACACTTGAAAAACAATTCTCTTGGTTTTCTAGTTCTCCGGATTCGATCCTAAGTCTTGGAAACCCTTTTTTTCTCTTCATAGATCCTAGCAGATCAGTTGTAAAAGTGTTTGGAATCATTTCCATCGGTGTGGATACGTGTAGAGGAACTGTAACTTCAGTCCTAGATGATAAAAAATAGGCATCAGATCGATTTCTACTTCAAATCTCTTTAGGAACAAGATAAGTTTCGATTCTCTCGGTAATATACACAATATTCGGATTTTGTGAGATTGGTTTACGTTTGGGTTTTGATTTTCTTCCGTTGTATGAAACCTAGAAACCAACTCTAGTACGATTTGGTGAACTCACATGCTAAGAACCCGTAGAGAAACCCAACAGATTGATGTTTCCATTATGCCCTGTGTGGTTTTCTATTTTGGAGCTCACACATCCAAGTGTATTCGATGGTCACACGATCCATTTGCTTATATGAATAGTTGGTAGTGTCGTTGCCCTTTATAGGGTGAATGTGAGATGAAGAACGGTTTGCAGCCTTATTGAATGGACAACCATTTACAAATGTTTTAGTAACATTTCTTCATCAGTGCCATAATGTTTTGTTAACATTATTCATCATAAATGGAAGATGTTACTTTTGTGTATGAAGCATAATCCTTTCTACTATAAATAGCAGAGAGATTCAATGGCAAAAGAGAACAACAAAGACAATAAAAACATAAAGAGAGAAAACATCTAAACACTACCCATCCAAGAGAGCATTTAGGTCGTGGATTCGTGTTTTTTGGTTCTTTAATCAAATTTTGATCATCGACGGAGCTTAACGTGATTCCAACCGATTGTTGACTAATCGGTCGAGGTATGTCAGAAATTTCAGCTAAAGCTTACAAGCTTGGATTCGAAGGCCACAATCGGCGTCGAGTTCCAGACTCGGACACTCGTTATCGACCATAAGAGCATCACAGCTCAAATCTGGGACACCGCTGGCCAAGAACGGTAATGATCTCTCCTTGGAAATCTTGAGCTCTATCGAACTTCGTATGAACATCTTTTCCACGTTGGTATTGGATCTGTTGGTTTGTCTGGAATCGATCTGTGTGGATTCCTTTGTTTCTCTGAATGTAATCCTTGTAGAACTCAAATCTTTGTGCGAAGGATATTCTCTTCTTACAAATTTACTGACGCAAGTATGATCAGATCTCAAACCATTGTTCTGTTGCATAAAGGACTACGATTTCGAACCCGAGTCTGTCTTGTCCGCAAGTTGCGACATGAAGCAACGTGGTTATGATAATGCCACCCATCATATGTATACATACACACACTGTCCTATGCGTCTACTCCATTTTTTGAGCTCTTGAAATGTCACATCATATAGATACAGAACGGCAGCTAGTGCGTATTACCGGGGAACAGCAATCATGGTTCGCTTGCTGGCAAGAAGGTCACGTCGTTCCGGGACCGAAGAGCAGCATGTGTTGTGAGTCTTGAACCTATCCAATTCTTGATATTAATTACAGATTTACACTCTTAAATGGCAAGATTTTGGTGGGTATGAATTGTTCCATGAGCATACATATATATGGGTTGGTCGGATCTTTTGCTGTATCAAATAGATAGATTTTTTTTTTAAAATTTGTAAAACCTCTCCTCCGGTTTATATCATTGATTGTACTGAGGTCATGAATTACAAATTGCAAAACCGGAAACATTTGGGAAAGTGGCAACAACAAATTTTTAGGACGATAGCAAATAAAGAAACAGCCTTCAAAAATGTTATCTGCATGTCATTTGAAACACAACTCAAAAGATGAAATCTCCCACACAAAACAAAACATAACAGGAAGTGAGAATTTAAGCAGAAACAGGAGGCTTGGAGGCAGCAGAAGAGAGCCTCGACCTTTTCTTGGCCAAACTCTCACTGCGACGCTCTCTCTGCTCCTTCAAACGGGTTGCCAGAAGCTTCTGATACTCAGCCGCGTCAGAGTTGGCCTTTGCGATTCTCTTCTTCTTCTCCGCAATTCTCGCCCTCTTCCTCTGCAGCGTCAATGGAGTCACCAGCCGCTGTATCTTGGGTGCCTTACTAACCTTCTTCCCTGCAAACACACCACCAAAAACTCGAATTTTGTCAATACTTAGGCAGACCCTTTTGATGGAAGAAGAGTTTTTGAACTTGTTTGAAGTGATGTTTATGTTTTTGCTTTACCGGTTTTGGTTGTGAAGGTGCGGCGGTATGTGTTGACGTATTTCCTGACATCGTCCTCCTTGGAGAGGTTGAACAATTTGCGGATCTTCGACGCCCTTTTCGGCCCTCTCATTCTCGGCTTCTCGGTATCGGTTAGCCCGGGAAGGTCGTTCTCACCCTTTTTCACAATAACAAGGTTCAAGACCGAGAGGTCGGGGCTCACTATGCATCCACGGACAGACTTTCTTCTCCGCTCTCCGTTTCTCCTACCGTACCCTCTGAAGCAAGGGGTGCCTGCCCAAAAGACATTTAAGTGAATTGTGTAAAGCCCATACAACATTTCATTGAATTGAAACTAAATCCAGGAGATTAGAGATGAAAGAATAGGAGATTGTACCTCGGTGAAGCAAGAGACGTACACGGCCAGGAGTGAGAACTCCCTGTTTCATTGGGAAACCCTGTTTGTCACATCCTCCCATGATCTTGAAGACATATCCCTTGAACTCCTGTAACAACAGACAGTTTAAAAAAAAAACTCGAGAATGTTTACACAATCATCAAAGAGAATGAATTTCTCAAAACCCATGGAAGGATTTAAAGAAGTGAAATCATACCTCTCCCAAGGCATCTCCACTGACTTCTTGAGAGATCCTCTTGTCAAAGAAAGCCCGGCTGCATCATCAAACCTCAAACACAATTAACTTCACCCAGAAAGGAATGGCACAGAACGGAGCGAGCGTCGAACATCACTAGAATCGCTCCGACAAACAAACACAAAATCTTAATCCAAACCCGTTAAAGCAATCACAAAACCTAGTTTGAGGGCCCGGAGAATACATTGACGAAAAGGGGCGAATCCTAAGGAGAAATTCTACACGTCTATCGTATCTAGAGAGGCGCATTAGCATAACGCAGCATCGTGTCAAGCTCCACGAAGAGTTTACTAAATCAGGGCATGAAAACAGAAGAAAAACTTACAGTTTCTGATCATCATCGATCTCGAGCTTCTTCTGGCAACCAGTAGTCGGATTCGCTATATTGAACTAAAACAGAGACGAAAAGGCATATCGATATAAGCAACCCTAGAGAGAATTTCTGCGAAGAAATACAGAGTAGAACGGAAATCACCTTCATCTTCACAGAGCCGCAAGGACACCGCGAGAGAGAGAAGATGAACTATAGCCGCTGCTAGGGTTTTTCTTCATTAGCGCAGCCGAGTTATATCGACACTAAACGGGTCGGTTTTGGATTAACCGGACCGGGAATGGACCGGCCCATGATAAGATGGAGAAATTAAGAACCCATTGGAATTTAATAGCTAACTACTGTCTTTAACCCAAAAACATCAATACGAGGTAATTGTTTTACTTTATAATTTTGTAAATATATATAGATTAAATTAAACGAAAATCAAGTGAACCAATTTGAATTAAAAAAATAGAAATTTTAAAAATATAATATTGGAGGAAAATTACATACAAATTCTGATGTGAAACTATTGTATTTTAATAACGAATACATGAAAAACACAATGGGACAAATTGCTAAAAGGATTCCCGAACTTTGCGTTGTATTTGGTAATGATGAATGTGCAAACTTTAGTTTTGAAGATACAATACCTCAAGTTTTCGGTAAAATTTTTCTTTCTGAACTCTAAATATATTTATATGGAGAAAAAAATGTTGCTACGTTAACAAAACTATATACTATAGATTCATAAATATCATTTATACTATTCACACAAAATATATATCATAACTAAATATCCGAATTAAGTCGGTCGTGTTTTAGAATTTAAAAACCCTAATTTCGATTTCACCGCCAATCCAACGATCTGATTAAACTTCAATTTATCAATGATTTTATCCTTTTTTTTCATAAGATATTTTGATTATGCACAATCATAATATACAAAACTACAGAGGGAACAGCAAAATTTCCTCGGTTCTATTAGGACAACAAAGAGAATCAAGCAACCAAGTCGTAGAATCATCATCATCATCTGTGGTGAGTGTCCCAGTCGAAGTTGGGTCGGGAATAAAGCTCGTAATCGATGGGACCGTCGACGAGGTCGTCCACTGTCTGAAACCCTCGAAGCAAAGCCGGGTGAAACCTGTCGGAATCAGAAGGCAGGAGTTTGTACATCACCAACACTCCCAGTGTGAAAATGGCTTGGAGCTTTGTGGAATCCCCCTTCACCCAGAAGAAAAGCAACATGGAGACTAGGAACAAATCTACACAGAAGCGCATTATACAAAACACCGTGTCCATAAGCTTTCCCTCGTTGCCTGAAGGGAAACCTCGGACTCTGTACACAAACAGGAAGTTGTATTTATCCACGATGTATCTATACCCGAAGTAGACAGCCCCCACAGGAACCACGAGTGGGGAGAGCGCGGAGTATATCATCGTTAGGGCAAAGATGGTGAGGTTGAAGGCGTAGTATTGGGCAAAGTCGAATTTCTGTTTCGGGATTGGGGAGGTTCGGCTGATGGGATATTCCGCGAGGTCATGACCCAACAACCCGGGAGACTCAAATGTGTTGTCGGGAATAAGTGGTGTCTGAAGGCTGATTGTGTCTTGATTTTCCAAAGGGTACTCCTCGTTTTGCTCAGGAACCAGTTGGAGCATGTCGTTCTTCCTGAATCTCTGGATCTTCTTCTTGATCCACGGGATTGGTGCCAGTAGATCGAAGGAGATTCCCAAGAAAGTGCTCGTGATGAGGAAAGCCAGAGCGGAAAGGCATGATCTTGATAAGAATGAAGGACTCATGTATTCTTCAATCCTCTTGCAGTCCTCGCCGTCCAAATAGCAACGACCCATTTTTAAGAGCGCGGTCTCGAGTGATGACTCGACAAGAGCTTTCAGCACGATGAGGTTCACAAGGAAGAAGCAAACCATCTTCAAGAGAGCCGCTCTTTGTTCCCCAGACACAGTCAAGTGTCGTTCAAACTTGGAAAAATAAGAGAGAACCGAGGGAATAATAATGTACATGCTGATGAATATGATGACGTTAGGCAAGAATTGGAAGATCAGAGACCCAATCCACCCGGAAGTTTGCACCCAAGTGAACCACGACTGGGCATTATCCACGGCTTCGGCATTGATGATCCGCCCGGCACTTATCAAGGCGCTGATCAAGGCAAGTGGAGAACTGAAAAACACAAGCATCAGCAGCAGAATCGAGTTAACAATTACCCGTCGCATTCTACAGGAGAATTTGGTTAATCCCAGATTATTCCAGTAGATGTCGGTAGCCAGAGGTGATCTCTCGACTTTCCACTGGTTCCTCTGCAGCCGTAGCTCGGTCACAGAGAAGAACTTTCCAAATCGCCTTGATCTATCCGTTCGGAAATCCTGAATAGCCTTATTAGCTGTGTACACATCCTTAAATACCACAAAAGCAACCCCAGCACATTGTGCTCGTCCTTCTTTGTAAGCTGACAACTGAGTCTCCAACTCAGCTCTCAACTCTTGCAACTGTCTTAGCTTTTCTTCATCAGTAAAACCCATCCGCTCAGTAATCTGAGACCACGGTACCTTCACCTTCATCCACAGAATGCGTACCCAACTCAGTAATCCTCCATGTTCGACACTCTGAATCTCCTCAGGCAAAAGCCTAGAGTCCATCCTGGCAACCAACCAAGTAATATCATCCCTTACACGAACCAATTCTGTGGCAAGATCATCCAATGCGCATAAATCCATAGGTATTATGATCTTGAAAACTTTACCCGGATACTTTTCTCGAAAATACTCTTCGAACACAGATCTATCAGATCCTAAGGTTTTCGGTAAACCCTGAACCATAATAGTAAATAAGGCAGTAGAACTCGTATTTGGGTCGCTGAGATTACCGTTCCCATCTCTAAATCTAGTAAACTTAAGCCTCCCTTCAATGGCAGAAATCCCAAAATGCGCTAGGAGAACGACAATCACAACAAAAGCAAAATGAACCCAAAGCAGACCCGAACCTTTCTTAATGTGGGTAATCATCGTTTTGGATAATTCATCATTCAGCATAGCGGTCCCGGCATATAGATTCAACGGAAGCATAACGGAGACGGCCAAAATCGCGACGGAGAAAAGGAGAACGAAGCTACCACCTTCGATGAGGAGGAACTGAGCTGCGTCAGCACCACAGTGACGAGCGATTTCGCGACACGTGGCTTTCCAGACAGCGAGGAGCTTGGAGAATATCGCAGACGGACCAGGCATGCGATGGTGGTCGCTGCGAAGCTTGACTAGGAAGAAGATGGATACGCAGCAAAGAAGACCAATCGCCGAGATGTTAAGCAGGTACTGTATGTTTCCGTACCAAGCATCGGGAATCTCCGGCGAATCTCCGCCGCCACTGGAGGAAGGCGGAGGAGAGAAAAAATCATTCGCGGCCATCGGCGACATCGCGGAGTGCGAAAAGGCGATATTCATCGCGATGTCTCGCCGATTAAGACAGCCAAATTTCCCAACCTTCCTTCAATTTCACGGTATTTAGATTTCTTCGAGAGAAATTTAGGAATTAGGGTTAGATTGATGGAGATGCCGTGTAGTATGAACCTCAGCTCTCCAGTGCAACAAGAAAACAAAAAAAAGACAATTTACTATTTATAATTTTTTTCCAACGATTTACAAAACAGACGTTTATTTAAATCCTAGTTATAATTTGTTTGGGGGTAATCTTCTATTATGTATTAAATTATTACTTAATTTTAGACCATTTTGTAGACTCAGAATGAACAGAGCCCAAGGGGCCGATAACAAATATTCTCAATGGGCCCAAATGAGACAATTTGGGCCTGGATGATTCCATCATGTATGGCATTTCCGTGATTAGGTTGAAAACCAGTGGTAGTTAGGGAAAGGAAAGAGGGCCCATTAGGCTAGAGACAAATTCTTCATGGGCCCAATTAGACAGTTTGGGCCTCGACGGTAGACGTGGAAAACAAGTCACCGAGGCATCATTTAATTGCATTTACAAAAATTCTTCAATAGCACCTTGGAATTACGAAAACACCCATGCCTTGGTGTTTTAATTACTCATCTCCAAGCAACGCTCTCTGAGGCTCTGAGAGAAATCCATTATTATTCATAATTGAATTAAATAAATGTGATAAGGACAATTATGTCCTTATTTGTGGGTCCCATTTTTGCCACCAGGATTGTAGATTACTAGGTTCGCCGAAGATCTAACGGTTATAAATGTGTCAGTGCTATTTATAATTGGAAATAACAATAATCTATTTTTACGACAAATATGGTTTTAGACTTTTAGTACATCGAGATTCTTATAAACAAAAAAAAAAAAAGAGGACAAAACAAACCCCTTTTCAATGCGGCATCGCTAATGTTAAGTATGCACCCTTTATGAAATAAATATATTTGTTAAATCTAAAACTCAAATACATTACTATCTCCTAATTTTCTGCTCGTGAGTATTATACTAATGAATTTTTTGGGTTGCATGTAGAGACTTAATAAGATTTTTTTTTTTTTTGCAATGTCACAAAGAGATATGATTAAGAAAAGTAAATCACCTGAAAATGAATTAAGGGTTAAAAAATTAAAAATTTCATGTCTTAACACAATGAATAAAGTACGAACGAGGCAGAAACACACATGGAAAGTGACGCTTCGGCCAGGCAAAGGCAGGGCCAGTGGCAATTTTGAAATAAATAAGAAATCCGAGGATAATTGTAAGTGCCAGTCGTACGCCGTTTCACTTTTTTTTTTTGTATTTTTATGTTTTTTTTCGTCCTCTCCTTCTCTGTCAAATTTTTGACCGTTGTTCTCCTCAACGTCTCTCTCTCTCTCTCTCTCTCTCTCTCTCTCTCTCCCCCTCCCCATTTCCGTATCTACAGTGACCGTCACGCTCCAGCGTCTTTTGACTTGAAACTCGGAGGTGTTCTCTGTCTTCTGTCTGTCTCTTTATTTATATTATGTCCGAAACTTTCTGGGTTTGTCCTTGGCTTGCATTCATAGTTCCTAAGCATTTCACGAGATAAATTGAAGTCATTTGGCCACCATTCTTCATCTGGGTTTTCCTCGATTGAGTTCTTCGTTCCCCATCTTGTTTTGGGGTTCTAACACACTCCTGAGTTTTTGAGTTTCCATTGTCTGAACTTGAAAAACAAAATCTTGAGAAGAAAAATAACCATTTCTGTAAATGGGTTACAGATTTATCTCATTGTTTGCGTGAAATCTCATAGATTTTCAAATTCAGTAATCGATTCGCTATAATCTGTTTTTCAGCTTTTTTTCTTTCTGGCATCAATCTGTAGTCTCCAAGTCAAAGTAATATTCCGTTTATTGTAAACTAAGCAAAGAATCTCAAACTTTGAGGAATGTTTTTTTTCATGGGTAATCTGATTCATGGTTCATAGTTCTGTGCAGTGTCTGGATAAAGCCATTCAAGAGACAAATCTTCGGAAATGGGATGTTCTGAGTCGAAGTTGGACCAAGAGGAGGCGGTTCGGATCTGCAAAGACCGTAAACGTTTCATCAAACAAGCTCTGGAGCAAAGAACTGAGTTCGCTTCATGTCACATTGCCTACATCCAATCTCTGAAACATGTCTCAGATGCTCTCCGTGACTACATCCAAGTAGACGATCCTCTCGGATCCTCGTTGGATTCGTTCATGACGATCTCGCCTTCGAGAATTATGCCTCGGAAACTGATTCAAGACGAGCCAGGATCGGCAATGAAGGTGAATTGCTTGGTGGCGAGTGGAAGCAGAGTGGTTACTGTCGAAGAAATGCCTCCTGTATTACCAGAGACGACGTTTCGGGTTGAAGCCTATTCCCCAAGCCACCATTACGGTGGCGTGGATCGGTTTTTCCAGTATCCGTCGTCGTCGTCTTGGAACCCGATGACGAATTCTCCCGAGCCTTTGCCTCATAGCTCGAAATGGGATTTCTTCTGGAACCCGTTTTCGTCGTTGGATTATTACGGATACCCTTATGGACAAAGTGATCAGATAGATCGGGTGGACTACGATATCAAAGGGGTGAGTCAGGTTCGGGACGAAGAAGGCATTCCCGAGATAGAAAAAGATGATCATAACATGAAAGCGAAAGAAGAAAGGGATAAAACGGATAGAGGTTGTTGTACCGAAGAAGTTACGGTTGAAGATATCGAGGAGGAGAAGGAGGGAGAGGGCGAGGAATATGCGGACGGTGGGTGTGAAACCACGAATGATAACGACAAATGCACGGGAACCCGAGAACAGCGAAGCGTTGAGGTGTCGAGCATGGAAACTACAGGGCAAGTAGCCGGAATCGGTAGCCGAGAAGTGAAGAAAGTCGGTGATGGAGATGACCCGAACTCCGAAACGCCCGGATACACGGTGTACGTGAACCGAAGGCCGATGAGAATTGCGGAAGTAATTGAAGATCTTGAAGATCAGTTTAGTACCGTTTGTAATGCCGCCGAGGATGTCTCGAGCTTACTGGAAGCGAGTCGAGCTCAATACTCTTCGTCATCGCCATCCACCGGTGAACTCACTGGTAGATAGCAATATCATCTTCTTTCTGTATCAAATTCTGTTACTATGAATCCCCGTTCTGACTGTTGAAGAAATCTGTCTTTGCAGCCATGAAAATGCTGAATCCCGTAGCTTTGTTCCGCTCAGGCTGCTCGTCGAAATTCTTGATCAGTTCTTCCGCTGCTTTGACGGAGAGCGGCGATCTTTCGGACGAAACTTGCACGGTCTCGGGCAGCCACCAATCGACGCTGGACCGACTGTTCGCTTGGGAGAAAAAACTCTACGACGAAGTCAGGGTGAGAAACTCAACCGGGTGATTCTTGTAATGTCGATTTTCTCTCTGTTTTTCTACTTACTGCTGCTTCGCAGTCAGGAGCGCGAGCGCGAATCGCGTATGAGAAGAAATGTACGCTGCTGAGGAACCAGGACGTGAAAAGAAAAGACGATCCTTCGTCGGTCGATAAAACCCGAGCCGCGATACAAGATCTGCGCATCCAGATCAAGGTATCGATACACTCGATCGAAGCAATCTCCGAAAGGATCGAGGCATTACGTGACAAAGAACTGCTGCCTCAGCTTCTCGATCTCGTTCACGGGTACACTTCCGTCTTTTTGTCCGGGCCGAAAATTTACCTGTGACACAATAGTAAGAACCATTAATAATGCTTCTTTACAGGTTAACTCAGATGTGGAAAGTGATGGCAGAGTGTCACCAGATACAGAAGCGAACCTTGGACGAAGCCAAGCTGTTATTAGCGTGCACACCCTCTAAGCTTAACAAGAAGAGACATTGTTCATTACCTGACACAAACTCTAACAGGTTAGCTCGGTTGGCTCTGAACCTTGAAGCTCGGCTTAGAAACTGGAGAGACTGCTTCGAAACGTGGGTCACATCTCAGAGATCTTACGTGCTGGCTTTAGCCGGTTGGCTCCTCAGATGTTTCAGATGCGATCCCGACCCTGAAAAGGTTAATTTAACGTCTTTTCCTCACCCGTTATATGAGATCTGCATCCAATGGTCAAGGTTGCTCAATGGCTTGAACGAGAAACCTGTGCTCAACGGTCTGGATTTCTTCGCAGCCGGAATGGGTTCACTCTATGTTCAGCACCTAAGGGAAGAAGATCTGAACCAGCTCGGGTCAAGGGGGATTAGACCCAGGTCGGAAGGCATGGAGCTTGTAGAGGTTGATAAAATGGAAGAGGCGATGACAGACGAGAAACTGGCTGAGATCGCCGTTAGGGTACTCTGTGGTGGCATGGCAGTTGCAGTGAGTTCACTCACTGAGTTTGCCGTTGGTTCGGCCAAGGAATATTCGAAACTCGCAAGCCAACCAGAGGACAGCGCGTTGGCTCACCATTCCGACCAAAACGAGATATAAATTTCTCTTCCCATTTCTTCTAATTATTGATTTATTCTCGGGTTAAGGTTAAGATTAGTTTAGGTTTGTTCTGTGAGCAGCATATTCTGCTTTGGGGTTTGGGTTAGGTTAGTAGGACCTATAGGTTGTACCGAAAAGTCCTTCAGTTTTGGTCTTTAGTGTAAGGGACTTTGATACAATGTCTAGTCTCGGAAATGAACCAGAATCCGTGACCCAACCCGTAAAACGAGAAGAATCAAATGACAACTTCAGAGCCAAAAATTCACTGTTTCTCTTCTTCCTTTCTCTATTCTAGAAAGAAAAGGAAAAGGGTTTATATCAGAAAGGAACATTACCAGTCTCATTTGTAGAGGTCTTTGTTTAGTCATCATCCTCATACTCTAGTTCATCAGAACTGACTCCTCCCATCACAGACAAGTAAAGAACAATGGCGATAAACTGTGCAGCTAGAAAGAACCTTGCCCTTTTCTTAAACTTCTTCTCCTCTTCCGTCTTTTCGCCCTTTGGTTTGCTCTTCGGCTTTGAACCTGAATGGGTTAAAATTTTGGGTATATTTTTAAGAGGCTGAACATAATAATAAGCTCTAGGAGGAAACGATGTGAAAGTATATATAGGCCTTGATGCTTCTTACTCTTTCTCGAAAACGAGGATGCGAAAGAGTGAAGTGGAGAAGGAGACGAAGAAGAAGAAGCCTCCAGGAAATCCGACTTCAGTTTCTCAGCATATCTCACCAGATTATTATGCTCCATAAGTTTGCTTCGAAGCACTGATGTTTCCTGATCGTAACACCAGGGAGAAGTTCCCTAAGTTCAAGGAATTTATACAACGGGTAGATTCTACAGAGCACAACATAAAGTGAACTAGTAGACTACTAGAGCTCGTTAGCCAACTCACTGGTAGTGCTTGGAGTGTAAAAAGCACATGCGCAAGAAAGAAAGCATCCAAACTCGAGGGCCTGTAGGAAAAGCATAAGAGGAACAGATCCAGTCTTCCAAATTTCGGGAGTAATACGATCCAGAGAACAATTTTTTTTATTAACGTGCAAAATATTTTGTAGAACCTTACCTATCCTCAAAGAGAAACTTCTGCTCGCCTAATCTAGTTGATAAAGCCGTATATGCCTCACTTGCCCTTTTGTATATCTGTTCACATGTATGAATGGATTCATTACAGAATCAATAACTAGAACAAATAAACTGATAACATAATAGATTAATGTTTCACCTGTTTTGCCCTTTCTTCAGCGTTGTCTTTGCTAATTCCAAGTTGGGTCTTGGCCATGTACATTTGCTTGAGAAACAGAACCTTGCTGATCACCCAAGGCAGATCCGAATAGTAAATTTCCCATGCAGAACTTCCCTCAGTACCAATCCAGAGCTCATATGTAAGTGCTTCCCCGAGCCAGGATACTATAAGGGATTTCAACGATATAAACTCCGGAAGAGACTGGAACCTAGAATCCAGATTGACGATGCCATCTCTCTTCAAATTTTCAATAACCCCTCCATTCTCATTATTGTATGCAACATGTGTACTACCAGCTTCAAAGTATGGTATTTGATCTACAAATAGAAACACCAGGATGTTGTTACGACGTATATACAAGCAGACATATCCAGAAAGGGGCATGAATTCATCTACCAATCTACTGAAGGAAACCCAGAAATCACAAGCTGCAAATACGTTCCCGAGACCAACAATTTTCAACATACCATTACAAAGCCAAAGTATTCGAAGATACACATAAAATACTTGAGAGACAAGAAGACAACAATTCCTAGATAATGGTGATCAATCCTCATGGAAATGCTCAACTAAGAAAACCCACAACGGAAGAAAACGAAAGCCTGGTCAGTACGTCCAATTTTCAATTAAACTGATTACCAATAGAGTAATGGTACCATCTCGTATCTGAAACTTCTCTGGTTTTTCGGTTTCAAATCACTGTTCTAGATTACACATGTCATAAAGATCAATGAAACACTTCAACACAAATTCGAACAACAAAGCTCATAGATTGCCATCAAATTCTTACCGGAGTACGCGGTTAAAAAGGAGAAAATGGAGGAAGAAGAAGAAACCTGAATCGGGGAAGGTTGAATTGAAGGCCAATTGGAAAGGAACTTGAGCCAATTTGAGGTAGACGTAAACGGGAAGACAACTAGGGCAGGCTGTTGGGAGACCGAAGTAGGGTTTCCTCGCGACCAAAGTGAAGTCCACCGTTTCTTGCTCGCCTTCCATGGCCGGTTTCTGTAAGATCTCTGTTTGCCCTTCTGGCCTTTCGGGAATGAACTGTGTCGAAGAAAACCAAGTGTGATGGTGGCCGATGAAGGTTTCAGCCGGACCGGGTCGGGTCGGGCGGGTTTCTTGATATGGATTACAAAGTTAGAGTTTGGAGGCTGTATTCACCATCAGGCTTGGGCTTCTTCAGGCCCATGAAGGACCTAAAATAATTCGAGTTTTTTAAAATCGTTAATTTAATTTAATGAAGTTTTTCATGATTAATATATATATATATATGTTGGTTAATAATATCCACAAACCCTTCTTCTATAAAATTATGAAAAATGATTAATTATCTTTTTATGGATATTTAACAACTAATTCAATGATTTATGAATAAACTCCAATTAATTTTCCTAAAAATGTTTTAATTAATTTGGCACTGAACAAAATTCTTAATCAAACATAAAAACAATATAGTCAAGTGTAAAACATGCAGAATTTTTATGCCTTCTTATAAATTATTTTTTTTATTTTTTTGGGTAAATGGTAAATATTATTTATTTATTTATTTATTTTATTTATTTATTTATTTATTTATTTACAGGAGTTAGAAATTTAAAGCCCAATAAGCATGAACAGATAACCAGCCTAAAATTGACCAATATATGTTCCATTAACTCAGCTGTTCCAAAGGAAACAAACTCATTCACGAGAAAACCATTTGTACTAAAACCCTAATTTACATACTATAAATTAATGCCACAGTTTTTCACTTAGACCAAAAAAAAATCCTCAAAGTACACACATTGTCGTTTGTGATGGCACCGGTTATCTTCAAAAACTGTTACTCGGTACAACCGGCCGAACCGACATGGACCGGCCGGTTATCCTTAACCGAATGGGACCAAGTCGGAACGATAACCCACGTTCCCACCGTTTACTTCTACAACAAACCACCTGAAAATTTCAACGTCGTCGAAACCCTAAAGAGCTCACTGAGCCGTGCGCTTTTCCATTTCTACCCTTTGGCCGGCCGCCTCCGTTGGCTCCCGAAAAGCCGCCTCGAGCTCGAGTGCAATGGGGCGGGCATTCCATTCGTTGAGGCGGAATCCGAATCCGAGCTTTCGGGTTTCGGGGACTTCTCCCCGTCGCCGGAATACGAGAACCTTGTGCCGCAAGTAAACTACGAAAACCCTATAGAGAAGATCCCTCTATTGCTGGTCCAACTCACCAGGTTCAGATGCGGCGGATTATGCCTCGGCGTCAACATTTCCCACGCCGTCGTCGACGGGCAAAGCGCACTCCACTTCATCTCCGAGTGGGCGAGAATCTCCTGCGGACAACCTCTCGGTACAGCCCCGTATCTCGACCGGAGAATCCTCCGGGCCGGCGAACCTCCGGCCGTGAAACCACCGCCGTTGGATCTGAAAGAGCTTGAGCAGCCGCCGCTGATGATCGGAGCAGAGGATAACGTGGAAGAGAGGAAGAAGGATACGACGGTGGCGATGCTGAAACTGGACAGAGCTGACGTGGAGAAGCTGAGGGAGAGAGCGAATAAGAGCGAGTTTTCCGATTCAACCAGGTCGTTTACGCGTTACGAGGCGGTGACGGGTCACGTGTGGAGGTCGGCGTGCAAGGCACGTGGCCATTTTCCACAGCAGCCGACGGCGTTAGGCGTCTGCATAGATTCACGTAGCCGGATGCAGCCTCCATTGCCTCAGGGGTATTTTGGGAATGCCACTCTTGACGTCATTGCAGTGAGCACTTCAGGTATAGTTAGTGAATTTCCCCCCATGATTTTTTTGGATTAATTAGCTTAATCTCGGTTGCTTCCTAGTCAAGTAACTACTTTATTTTTAACTTATTTCTTTTTGGCTTTTTTTTTTTGCTACTTCTTGGTCTATAATAGGAAAATATATTGGTTTTCAACTATGTGACATTAAAATTATATGTTAATACAATTTTATAAGAAATTGTAAACATCTCAAACATAAATATTATAAATATTCTTTTTTTGTCTAAAACATATCATTTTGATTATACTGTTAATTTTCCCACATGATATAATTAAATGAAGTTTAGTCTTCTTTTGTGGTGAATTCATAAGAAACTATAAACACTTCAGACTCATATATTATGAATAAATTTGGATTATACTTTTTAATATTTTCCCAAAAAACATAATTAAATGAAAGTTTAAACATCAGCATGCATATGTACTCTTCTTTTTGCATCTAAACACAACAGGCGAGCTGATCTCGAACCCACTCGGGTATGCGGTGAGAAAAATCCGAGAAGCGATCAAGAAAGTGAACGACGAGTACGTGAGATCGGAGATAGAATACCTAAAGAACCAGGAAGATCTGAAGAAGTTTCAAGACCTGCATGCCTTGGGGAGCACGGAAGGTCCATTCTATGGAAACCCTAATTTAGGAGTGGTGAGTTGGCTAACCCTACCGATCTACGGCTTAGATTTCGGGTGGGGAAAGGAGGTTTACATGGGACCCGGCACGCACGATTTCGACGGCGACTCGCTGCTCTTGCCGGACCATGAGGACGCTGGCTCGGTGGTTCTGGCTCTGTGCCTTCAAGTGGCTCATATGGAGGCTTTCAAGAAACATTTCTATGAAGATATTTAAACTCGGGTTTTTAAATTATAAACTAATTATATAATTTGGTAATAATGTGTTGGCTGATGAAGACATAACTGAAAATAAAAAATTGACTAATATCAATGGAGACAATATTGGTTTTTTTTTAATTGACGTCATTGTTTAAATTATTATTCAAGTAAAAAAAACTTGGAGTAATTGAAAAATGGGCTCCAATATTAATATAATATTTAAATGACAAATAGTGTATGAAAGGAGAAAAAAATATGTGGAGGAGGTTGAGACTCGTTGTTGCAATTCTTACCAAATACGAGGAACTCTCTTGCCAGTCTGTTTCCCTTCGTGTTATCTGTCTTTTTCTCTTATCTGCATACACAAAATATACATTATTATGTCATATATATATATATATATATATATATATATATATATTAAACTATTAGAAATAGTATTCTATGTAGTTTTAAAAAATAACTCTAACGTGATCTACCATCTTAATTTTTTTATAAATATGACAAAAGATCACCTAATTCTTTTTTTTTTTGTTAACGAAAAATCACCTAATTCAAATCATTGATAAGAAAAATATACGATTTAGATATGTATTGGGTATCACATTTGTTCTATTTTTCAGATATTATATTACAATTACTAGATACTAAAGTATTTCTAAAAATGTAAACGTGTTCTTTTTCTTATACCACCTTATTATACCCAAACATTAGGTCATATTAGTGTTAGAACATAAAAGGATTTTTATTTTTTATTTTTTTAAATTTCGATAATATTTATTGACAAAGCAAATATAATTGTGTCGTGGTATTTCTTTTTTTTTTGTGTCGCGGTATTTATTGAATGGGAAAATAGAAAATGGAGGGTCAAAACCAAAATAAGTGGTGCACGTAGGGGGCATTTGTGTAAATATATCCAAATAAAGAATACAGACAAAAGACATTAAAAAGAAAAAAGAACAACACTCAAAATCAAAACCCACATGAGATGTGTCTCCCCTTCCCTATCCAAACCCATGTCTTTTTTTATCTCGCCCTCCATCCATCAACCCCTTTGGGACCCACTTTTAATTCCATAAATTACTAACATTTGAAAAAAAAAATGAAAAATTCTATATAAATATATAGACTATAAAAAATTATAGACAAAAATCTAATAACTTTGAAAAAAACTACGTAAATAAACAAATTTCTAAATACTATTGAAAGATTTGATATTTATTAATGTCAGAACAACGAGATTAGGTGACAGAAATTAATTTGATTATCATCAAATTCGAATTAATATTCTAAAACTATCTTATAAAAATTTTGCAATATCTATATATATACATGCGATTTACAATATTTTAACCACTCTTCAGGGTTTGTACAAGTTATTCTGACAATGCTGTACGATTGTTCATTATTCTAAAAGATATATATATATATATATATATATATATATATAGCAATTTACGTAAAAAAACTGAAAAAAAAAATTAAATAATTAATTAATGCATGTGCGTTTTATTTAAATGTATGGTTGGAGAAAGCTGCATTTTTCGCAGTAGCTATGAATTAATTTAATCGACAAAGCCACGAAACCCTATAAGAAAATTGAATTCCCAAGAACTTACATCACTTGCATCCTTCGTACACAACGTTCATTGGTATTTTACAAATAAAATATGGAATGAAAAAACAAACAGATCTTATAAAATTTACAATATTGTGTAGAAATCATCTGAGTCATTCGTAAGCAAAAATTGTTATAGACCGATGTTTTTCATTATTCCGAATTATTTATAATTCTACAAAGAATTATATCCAAAATCTTAAAAAAGTGGAGATTAATACAATCTTAAAGATACTAACCTATCGATAAATTTTTTTGGTATAATGTGAATATATATATATATATATATATAAAGTTTGGTGTTTATAATCCGATAATATAACGACCCGTGACCGATACGGAATGTTGAAACTATCATCATACAACAATACGAGACATTTCAACGTATTTTGTCCTCACTCGCAAATACAACGAGATACTTTTTATTAGGTTATCCACCATTAGATTGCTTTAAAATCAGCATGATTAATTGGAATTCTCTCAAAATAGTTAAACGAAAAGACATATACATCTTGTTACTATTAATAGATCAATCAATTCTTTTAAATTATCTTAAACGGTAAAGTCTCATACCTATATAGTCTTCAGATCTCTTTTATTTCGATGCATTCGATTCATTTCTATATCTCTCTAGTCTAGTGGTACTCGAGAGCCTTTTTTGTCCGTGTTATCTGCAACGACAAACATTACTAATTCTCATTATAATTCGGGATATACAGAAAATGTCTATATATAAATTTTGTTGTATAATGTGAATTTATATATATATATATATATATATAAAGGTTAGTGTCTACAATCCGATAATGTCTATATAATAAATTTTTTTTGTATGATGTGAATTTATATATATTGATAAAATTGGATAGTTATATTGGTAATGTCTATATGCTATATGACCTTTTTGAAAAAACGTTTCTAATCAAAATGTTTATAACAACAAAGATTCGAATCGGGACCATGGGAAAGATAGTTTTCTTGAAAAAAAATATATTCTAATCTCATTCATGTTTTTAAAAACCTCTATTTTCTAGAAGTCATTCAAATAGTCTTACTCATTCGTACGCAAAAAATCGCTACAGAACTATTATTGCCAATTTTTTTTTATCATATTGTGAATCTTACGTTTTAGTATTATGAAAATTATAATTCTTAATGAATGATTAGTGCAATCGTAACGACTGATATTAGCCGATAACAAATTTATATATAGCAGTATAAAGTTTTAAGATTTTCAATATCATTCTTTATAGGGAAAATCGCATATAAATATTTGAATATTTATAAAATTTTCAGATACACTGAACTATAAAACTTTCATGTAAATATCTAAATTTTTTTAAAACTTTCACACGAATACCCAAATTTTTTAAAATCTCTCAAATAAAACAATATTCGTTAACGATGTTTAACGTACATGTTCAAATGTTAAGTCATCATTTTTTTACGGATTCTAATAAATTAAACGACGCTAATATACATTTTGGTTTTTTTTGAAAGATTTCCAAAAATCTGGGTATTTGTATGGAACTTTTGAAAATTTCATATTATTTATATGGGAGTTTTATAATTTATGTATTTATGTAGAAATTTTATAAAAATCCAGATATTTATATGCGATGTTTTCTTTTATATATATATATATATATATATATATATATATATATATATAATCGAACCACCTAATTTTAATCCATGTCACTAAGCAGTTGAAGTATCTAAATTTTCCAACATTACTTAAATGAGGTAAACAGATGAGTCGAATCTAGATGATCACCATTATACTCATACAACGAATCTATTGAATATTTATTATATTTAGTGGAAACAAAAGTCAAAGTTTAACTCACGTTTTGCACGTTATATATTTAAATAAGGCGTGTGATTAGACTAATTAAATCATCAATGTCGCAATTAAATACAAATTACAGAAATCTAATTTTTCTTGCTGCAATTGAACCGGTGCGCCTACCCTTTGACTTTTTGAGGGAATAAAGAACACAACAAAATTATTTTAAATGGCAGCTTTTTCATATATATATATATATATGTCATGTGTGTGTGTCATGAAAAATCAGAATGTATGTTGTGAGATTATTGGAAAAGTGTATTGTTTAAATTTAATGTGGATTTGATTGGAAATACTTCTGTTCTTTTTGAAGATGGTGTGTATGAAACTGGAAAAGGGATAATGGGCCACTTTGTTTACATCAGAAGAGAAATATATATATATATATATATATATATATATATATATATATATATCGGCATTCAAAATCTCAAGAATGTGACACAATTTCAATACCCTAATATATGTAGTTATAATTAAAAGCATATAAACAACTTGTTATTATTTTTACTGCTGTCTCGATGCACAGATTTCAAAAGGGTGTGTGAGAAAATGGCCAAAAGAAAACGAGATTTTGGGATGTGGGTAATGAAACAAAGTATACATATGATAAGAAAAAGTCCAAAAGATAATAAAATTGTAAACACACATACATATATGCGTATAATATGTAAATAGTGTGTGTTTGAGAGAGAGAGAGAGAGAGGCATGTGAGGGCATTAATAAGAGGTGGGGTTTTGTTTGATGTGTTGTTGTTGCTATGGTTCCACATGGTAGGGGGGACTTCAAGTCTCTCTCTCTCTCTCTCTCTCTCTCTCTCTCTCTCTCTCTCTCTCTCTCTCTCTCTCTTTAGGGTAGGTGTAATGAAGCCAAATAAGAGCTATTGCATGTGACTCCATGTGGTTTTTTCTTCCACACCATCATTATTTCCTCCTCTCTTTCCATCTCTATTCCTCGATGTACACTACTATATGTTTTAATGTGATGTTCTTCGATGATTTTGATTTTCCTTACATTTTGTTTAATCAGTTTGATTGCGTTTGATGCAATATCTTCATAATCTATACATACGTTCATACATATATATATATATATACATACATATATGTGTGTGTGTGTTTCAATGATAGAATTTGGTCTTATAACAAAATGAATATAGTAGGCATTTGTAGCATAGTCTAGGCACTTTTTAGTACATATTTCTTATAACAATGCAAATTAAACAAAAAGGTTACTATTCAAAGGTCGATTGAACTCATCTTTCTTATAATAATACAAATTGAAAATTCTATATCCTATAAAATTAAAATTCTAAAATTCTAAAACACAAGCCTCTTAATAACTCCATAAACCTCATAGTTTTAACTTTTGAATTCTCCAATTTCACCTCTTAAAACTCCATAAACCAGGCTAAAATATTATCTAAAACTTAAAGAAGAGGGCGTGTATGTGTTAAATATCTCGTTCTCCTTGGCTCCCACAGCATCAACTTGGCTCATATACATGAGTAGGACCCTCTCTCCCCACCCCCTCTCTCTCTCTATATATATATACATACACACATCAATGTAGGTATGTATATATGTTGTATCTATCTCTCTCTCACATCGGGAGTTTGCTATATAAGTGTCCCCTTCGCAATCTACCCTAGCAACCAACAAAACTTCGTTTCTTAAACCATATTCTCACATCACATGGAGTGGCAAACAAACAAGAGGAAACGTGTATTTTCTCTGGAACCAAACAGGAACCCAACTGCTGTTTTCGCGAGAAAATACGCAGACCGCTTAGTCCCGGCTCTCAAGAAGATGGCCGCGAACAAGCCCTCTTCGAGAGACCACCATCTACAGTCCAAGTTCGAACGATACGTGAAGCACGAAGTCGACATGGCATTGGCCTTGTCTGCTCAAGATTTCGCTTGGAGCCGTTTCTTGCGACAGAAGTTATCTTGCCCTAACGACATCACCACGAGTACTACTTCTTCTTCTAGCCCTCAGCAAACCCTAGGCTTCGACGAGATGAAGTTTCTAGAAAGATCCCAGGAAAATGGAGAAGAAGAAGAAAGAGGAGGAGAGATAAGGAAGAGGCTGAGGGAATTGCAGAAGCTTCTTCCCGGAGGAGAGGAAATGGGTGTGGAAGAAACGTTAAGTGAGATTGGGAGTTACATTGTGTGTCTTGAGCTGCAGATGATTGTCCTTAAATCTCTTGTCCAAGAACCTTAATTTTTGTGTTTTTTTGGTTTAATATGTTATTATTAAGGTCCATTAGCTAATTTTTCTAAATTGAAAATTTAAAGATCCTTTTATTCTAATTTTTTCATCTCCTCTTTTTTCTCCCTTTCCAAATTAAGGATGATATTTTTAATTCCATAAGGGATGGGTTAAATATTTTTAATTTCATGTTCACAAAAATATCATTTTAATTCATACATATATGCCTTTGAACATGTAATAGCATCAAATCGAGTAATATAAAATGATTGTTTAAATTCAACTAAGTTAAATGTAGCAAAATTTATCCGATAAAAAAAGTTGCAAGTACCATAGAATAATATCAGAGATAACTTTTAATTTTTTTTGGTGGGATTTGAGATATCACATGTAGCAATTACAATAAAAAAAAAAGGTATCAATACAAATGACTCAAAACAAAATGAAAATGAAAGAAAAAGACCCAAATAAAAAAAGGAAATAAATGACGTAATATGAATTTGATTTTATATATATAAGAGTCATCCATATCTTTGCACGTGTAACGCATTATTACATGGACAAGGTACAACGTGACAACATATCAATTTCAAAATTTGGAGTATTTGACCTAATCTATGAATATGGTATCCAAAATTTTGATAATAACAGGAACCCAATTTCTTCAGATGGTAAGTCTGAATCGAAAGAACGAAACGGCGAAATCATTGAAAATCAAATTGTCATTGAAAAAACTGCATCATTCACATGGGAATGAAATTCTACTTTTTAGCATTACTCGAGGATTTTGGAAAAATCACATCGAGTCTTGACATGGGTTTCGATGGATGTGAGTTCACCCAAAAGCATCATCATCATCATCATCATCATGTTATTGCATGTAAAAAGACTTGTGAAGAGTGCAAAAATTACAATGGCTCATCGAATAAGAGCTAAGAAGAGTGAGTCAAAACACAGCAGAGACATCCTCCGTTTTCTTCAAAGGCAAGAGAGGTTTGGAAGAGTTATGGCAATGAACAAAGTTCTCTTCCGATCATATAACCTTAGAGATTAAGAAGAAGAAGAAGAAGAGAACAAGGGTCATCCTTCTTGTCTAAACGGTGTAATGTCCAGGAGTGTCAATGTCCAGTCCCTTCAGCTTCACCACTGATTCCACATGACCCTTTAGTGTATGCAGCTCCCTAAGCCTGGATTCACCACAACACACTCGACGAATTCAATAACGTTTCCACGTGAAAACCATCCGAGAAACGACAAGCAACTTTGTGAAAATGAAATCATCACACGGGTTTTGTTTTTTTTTTACCTCGCAATCTCGGCTCTTCTCTTGGCTTGCTCTGCTATCTCTGACAATTCTCTGTAGCTTCCTTTCTCGGGGAAGATGTTAACCTGCTCTTTTGGTTGAAGACCGTGCAATGTCCTTTGCGCCAGCGCCCATTGAGCCTCTCTCTCTTCTTTACCGTAATCTTTCTTCGTCGTGAAAGCGGTCTGTTCGACGAAAACATGATACAAAGGATCAGAATCATCGCCTCTTTCAGGGCACATAAGCAATGAAGAGAGATCCCAGAGGGAGATATATATATATATATACATACCTTGTTCTCGAACAAGTTGGTCCAGGCTTTTCCACTCAAGATATATCGGATGGCGAATTTCATGACGTCCAATGGGAAATATGTCACCAGAGAATATAGCCAGATCACACCGGCCCATCCCCATCCGATGCCCTTAATCTTAGCAAATCCCCAGTCGGCATACACCGCGATGAAAGTTGCAATCTTTCATTTGGGACGAGGAGAAATGAATTAACGGATTCATGAGGACACTCTTATTGAAAAATGTAATCCGAATCTGTAAAAATCTGTAACAGATAACTTACCAATTGTGCAATAAGAAAGGCAGTCACCAGTAACAGCCCGGGACGTTCCAAAAACGACCAACTCCTCGACCTCGTGACAAAGATTAGAGCTTGACTGATAATACTAACTTGTAGATACAAAGCGGCCATTACCTCATCCGGGCTGTTCCTGATAGACCTCACACCGAATTTGTCCTGTGGAACCGAAGTTTAAAAAACTTTTTTTTGTAACGATTTGAATGATGTTTTAAAACATATGACTTCTTCTGCAGCACATTCAGCCAAGAAGGAAAAGAGTGTAAAGCTTAGATAGTGTACCGAAAAGAAATCGGTCTTGTACATCACCCAGAAGAAAATGACGGTCATGATAGCCAAGTAGCCTCCGAGCACAACTCCGGTAGCGAAAATCTCTTTGAGTTTCCAGCTATCGGGTGTGGGAGATGGCTTGACTCTGTCTTTCGAGATAGTCATGATGGTACCTAACACATTTTGTATAACACCGTGAGATAGAAGGGAATTGTATCAAGAAAATGGATCGGATGGAGAAACGGGTCGATGTTATACAACGGAGATAGTTATAAGCTCACCGTCGTTAAGAATTGCAATGATCAGAACCATGAATGCTGAGAAATCAAATTTCCATATGAGAGCAATAAGCATGAAACCAAACTGCAATCAGAGCAAAGATCCAATTTTTTTTCAGTGAACTATGTATAGGTAATTCATACGATTAGAAAGGTGAGAGAATTCTGATCTACGTACCACAATACGGATAGTAATTGAGACAGCGTAAATCTGTAAGAAAAAGGCAAAAATAGAGTAAGGTTAGTTTTCAGTGCAAGTGAAAAAAAATGGTGGATAAGACTGAAGGGAGGAAACGAGAGATAGAAGACGGACGGTATAGTTCTTCATTCTCTGGAAAATGGCCCGGCTAGTGAGAACGGCACTGATAATAACGCTCAAACCGGGTTCGGTGAGAACAATATCCGAAGCACCCCGGGCCGCGTCTGTGGCATCAGCAACAGCAATACCGATATCTGCCTTCTTTAGAGCAGGAGCATCATTTACACCATCACCCGTCATCCCAACAATGTGCTTCCTCTCCTGCAGCTTCTTCACGATTTCGTATTTGTGCTCTGCAATTAATTTAGAAAAAAAAAAAGATTAAAACTTTGGATAACATACTATTAGAGTGTATATCCGATTGTTCGGTTTTAGCTTTTTTTACATACTACAGATACTTGTATTTGATGATCAATTTGAATAAGGCAGAAAATTTCTCCATTTCCATTTCTGATTATTGATATGATTAAAAAAAGCAGTTTAAAACGGACCTGGGAAGACGCCAGCAAACCCATCAGCTTTCTCGATCAACTCCTCGACGGGAATGGATGCAATGTTAGAGTCCTTGTCCTGACCGAGCAAAGTAGCAGATGGATACATGTTGGTTCCCATTCCGAGCCTACGACCAGTTTCCTTACCAATGGCAAGCTGGTCACCTGAGTACATAAGTTAAAAGAGCAAGTTAAAGAACAAAACATATGTAAAGTACTTGTCCTGATGATGAACAAGTGAATATTAAGACATAGTTACCAGTGATCATCTTGACATTAACACCGAGATTCAGAGCTCTCCTGATGGTTTCTGCACTGTCATGTCTTGGAGGGTCGAAAAGAGGCAACAAGCCAACAAATTCCCATGGACCACCAGGGCTTTCCTTTGTTTTCTCTGGCACCACCTGAGACAAGAAGTAAGATCATGAATCAGAAAATCGAAATTTTTTGTTTCTGATCCAAATGGAATCTACTGAAAAACATCATATTCATGGGATAAAAAAACGGTACCTGACGAGCAACTGCCAATGACCTAAGCCCACGCTCAGCGTATTTGTCAATAACAGCATGCACCTTCTTCCTAAGGTCATCCCTGGCTTTGGAAAGATCAAGGATCTGTATGGAGAATTTAGTCAGACGACAGAATTTTTTTTTTTAAATATTAAGCTCTATCTGTCAGATTCATCACCTGCTCGGGAGCACCCTTGCTGACCCTGTGCCAGTTACCATCAGAATCGATGTAAGTCAAAGCAGTTCTCTTGTCCACAGGATTAAACGGAAGGAAGTGAACCTCCCTGATCCCGGCTCGTGCCTGCAAAAATGGCCGAGGTGTGGAAATTAGACATGAAAAACTTGTTCCAACACTCTTTCCTGAAACTTAGACCGAGTA